AAAACAAACTTTTGGCAGAATTTTTTTCACTCCTCGAAACTCTCCTTAGTCTTTTTGAAAGCTGATTTTCCCGCGCGCCGGCTTCAACGAATCATAGACTTTCATCATAGGAGTTAGCCTTCCAGTTATTATTAGAGTTCACTGCTTTAACCCCACTTATTCATGACTTATTTGCACTTAATCGTGTATTGTTCCTCCTAGAAGGGGCCAATTTTCTAGGGGATTTTAGCCTGCACGAGATTTAGTTTATAGAAACTTTCTCTCGTTGCTTTTTTGCTGCTAAAGCAACATGTGTGGGCTTCGGTGGCGAAGTGGTTAGCGCACTTGCCTTTCACGTCTAAGACTGCAAGTTCAAATCTCAGAGAACTTTCTCAACGCGACTCGACCCCAGTCCTCCTTTGAAAAGAGTAAAAGTGAATGCTCTGCCGAAAGTCGTGGGTTTTCTCCGGGTACTCCGGTTTCCTCCCACAGGGAAAGTTGACAGGGTGGGTTAGGTAAAAGGCCCCGCAGTAATTGGCATATGCTGTTGTGGTGACCCTGCCCTAGTTGGCAAAGCTAAATAATTAAATAAACATTTGAACGGAAACGAGAACGACCACGACTCCCTAGCTTGCACGCGATCAAATCTCGTACTCGTAGTCGCTGCTAAAGCTCCCTAATGTCAATGTCGGTGTTATTGTTGTTGCCGTCGTCGTCATAATAATAATAATAATAATAATAATAATAATAATAATAATAATAATAATAATAAAAGTCTTTATTTCAATACTCAAAGCAAACGTCTGAGTTTACATACTTTAAAATTCTAAGGTGTAAGAATATAGATATATAGTTTCTAACTTTCTATAGAATTAAAAAGACATCTATTTATAAACGCGTTTTTGAACCTGTCAGTTTTAACAATTGGTGGTTCAAAGTCATGCCCTCTCCGTCTTAAAGGTCGATTTAAAGGCCCTGTCACACTATTGCGTATGAGAGAAACGTATGGGAAGCGTATGAAAATTAATGAAATCATTTTCACACGCACAAAAATCCTTTGAAATGCCAGACCGTACATCTGGCGTACCTATAGCGTATTCAGCGTGTGCCTAGAGTATGCTTATCGTATAAAGCATATATATAAGTCCAATTATACCCACAAAATTTTTGAACATGCTCAAAAAAATTTTTATGCCTCGGCGTATGCCACCGTATGCGACCGTGCTTGAAACGTATACAACGTATGCCTAACGTACCCCTAGCGTATGTCAGCGTATACCGGCGTATGAGTGATATTTTTCATAAGCTGGCATACGCTAGTACTATACGCAATAGTGTGACAGGGCCTTAACTTACTAAGTAAAAGATTGTGTAAAGCATTCTTATCATCATTTATAATTCTTTACCATAATAGTCGCCCTTGTTGTTTTTGTTGTCGTCATCGTCGGCCTTTTTTTTGTTGTTTCATTGTTGACGCTATTGATGATGTTGTTATTTAGATGAGAAAGATGATGGAAGAGATAGTAGCGTCAATACCAATCGACAGTGTTGAGGCAATACGTGAGAAGGCAACAGCTAGTGCATCATTATCCAACACACCAGGAGAAGTCACAGAAGAAATGCAGGTTAATATTTATAATATTAATTTGGTGAGAGAATGTCCATCATAAATCGAGTTCAATAATGACTACGAGGCATATTAAGGTTAAATTATTAGGCAGAATAATGGAACATGTCTTAAAGGCCTGCGAAACTCTTCTGCGAAATTCTTCGCGAGAAATCGTATTGGCAAAATACGGTTGATTGTGTATGAGTGATTCTATTCGATTTTCCCACTTTTTTGCTTTCCTAGTGAGTAGAACTGACTTAACTGATTAACTGCATGGCAAAGCGAACGTTTTTCTCGCCAAACCTAATTTATCTTCGCAGCATGCGGCAATGTATTTCGCACGACATTTTTCGCACTTCCTTCAAAAACGTGCTTATGGAGTCAGGCCTTAAACCTTTTCACTAATTGCCAATGATCCATCACTAAAAGTATATAAGTTATAAGAGACAACGCGCCTGGCACTCACTTTACTTGCTCATGATACATTTCAATTTTTATCAATAGGATAGTGCGATGAACGCAGCGGATGAAATGATAATGTTTCTGGGCAACAGTACGATGTCAGATGAACCGCCTAATCCACAGGATACTTTCAATGCTGCTGGTGGACTAATGAATACTTTAGGCAATTCCATGGAAGCTTCTATAGAAACTGGATCTCGTTCAAATAAAACTGATGATGGTAGCGATGGAAATACGACCAAGGTTGACAGTGCTGTAAGTAGTGAAGATGATGTTACGGGAATTTTTTAGCCATAGTTAACATAAAGTTGTTAAACGTACGGATCCAATTTAGGAAATCTCTCTTGCTGGTATCTGCCTTATGCATGAAAGTTTTCATCAACTACATTTGTTTAACGCAAACTCTCTTTTCAGGCTGGTATATACAATCGTCATTTTTTATGTTGTCTATAGAATTATCTTTTTGGCCTACTGTAATTCTACCTTTTTCTCTGCAGTCTTTCTTGTAATGACTTGTATAGCTGATTTGTCTTCAGAAGACCACCGTGTCTCTGAATACGGCCTAACTATCTCGTTTGTCGCTCTTTGATAGTCTTTATCATAAAAGTCTAGGAAATATTCTAGAATAAACTCGTTTTGGTAATAACTACAGTGCATCAGAAAGATAAGAAAAGCTTCAATTGAATTTTTCAGAAAATGCAATTCGTCATATATTTATGCACTATCTCGAAAACAACAAGAAACATACTGAATTTTTTTTTAATTACTGATTTTACAAGAGTCGTTTTCGACATGATGAACCTAAATTAACAGGTTCACTTGTTTTATTTAATTTTATTTAGAGCCGTGGTTTGGTAACGAAGGCGATGCAAAATGTGGAAAACCTGGCTTCGGCTGTTTTGACGCAGAAATTCGCAGGCGAACCTCCAACTGAAGTAAAGACAGAACGTCTTTCAATGGCCGTTCACAGAGCTGACCCTTCGTCCAGTGGAAAAATAGGAGCGACCACAGGAGGAGGAGACTTCATGATGCCTAATGTTGGATCTCTGTTTGGTATAGAAGGAAACGATACATCTGGAATACCGCCTGTTGATACCAAGGTTAGTGTCCTATATTTATATAGGTCCCAGATTTGCGTTTCAAATTTCGCTATAAACTTAACGAAGAGGAATTGTGCGTTAGCACTAATTTGCATACGCCAGAATAACGAATCGTAGCCAACAAATCACAGCGTGTAAACGTACCCTTATCAGTTGAAATATTTCGGCCACAATGGTGCTTTTTTAAATAAATCAACTCTTATTTCAAATTGGTGCCATAATTTTTGCTAATTGACGTAGGGCAGAAACTAAATAGTTAAAATTGGCATTGAAAATTCTCATTTGCCGCAATCTTGCTTAATTGATATATAAGGTATACAATTTGACTGTAATTTGACCGACATTTCTGGCAATTGTCCTTCATGAATTGCGTTTCCTAAGATAGTTATCCGACTTTCTGCAGGCTGTGTCAAACTCCAAAAACCCGTTTGCTTGGGATTCTTCGGCGTCGAAAGTCAAGAGTAAGGTCATGACAATGGAACTGAAGAATGCTACAGGTCACCCAATCAAAGTCAGTAACTTATCCAAGCCAATCGATATGTGGGTACCTCGTGGAGTTTCAGTCAATTTCTCGTTGTTTTCTGTAAACCATGGTAAAATGCTGTACCGAGCTTTCCATGTTGTGGAGAACGACACATCTATACAAATCGAGATTCTTGCAGAAGACAACAACACGGAATTAATTGCATATCTACGTCGTGCAAAGTTTCCCACAGAAGAATTTTATGATTTTAAGTACGTGTTGCCGAAGCGAGAATTTATCTTGGATACGGGGAATATGTCCACTACTAACAAGACAAAAACTCGAGAAATAAATCGCTACATACTGTTCCGGTCAAACGAGGACTTCAACAGAACAGCGGCGGGAAAGGTAATTATTACAAAATTAAATGTCCATGTGTTCCCTAATTAAAAACAATATTTTGAGTAAGTTTCGGTCGAAGGAAGCAAAATAAGTGTGAGATAGCGAGGATTTCGAGTTAACCGAGAGATAACCGAGTAAAAATGATTGAAATGTAGTATGGCCAAATCCATGGGAGATGGGTTTAAATACGAGATAGAGAGGAGTTTGAAATAAGCGACATAGCGGCCGGAATTTTACTGATAGCCCAGAAAATTTCAACTGTTATTTCAAATACCTAAAATAGAGAAATTAATAGGTATATTTATCATTTCTTTCGTAGTACTATATCGGTGTGAAGTATAATGGAACATTTGATCCAATGTATGAGGCCATAATGTCTGGTGGAAAACTAAAGTATGAAGAATATATTCCACCAATTGTTAATTTCACCATGAGGACTTTTACTTCGTCCTGTTTGTACTGGAGTGTTGAGAATGATACATGGAAAAGCGATGGTTGTGTGGTAAGAACACGTTTCTCCTTAACCTTGTTGAAACTAATGCTTTAGTTTTTGCATGATCTTTTGCATGCATGGATATTTTAATTATACATTTTTAGGGTATAGATAATATAGCAATGAACACCAAGAGTATCTTATACAGTTCTTTAATTTCGATGACAAATTACTTGTCGAGCTATGAATAAAACTAAACTGTATAAGCAGACATATACAAACTGGACAGCTATATTATACTGTAGTTCTTCTAGAATCTTCTCAGAGATTCGCTGTGACTTATTAGTCCAGTGTTACTAAAGGGAAGGAAACAGGTATATTGCAGATAACTGAAAGTCACTTCTTATATACCACCGAGGAGAAATGAGCATACTGGATACTGCGGGAAACGAATCTCGGTAGCTGAGTTAAAATGTCACACTAGCTATTCTCCGAACAATATAGAAGACAGGTTTTCTTTACAATCATTTAGTTCAACGATTAAGCTTAAGCTTCCTATTGGTCCAGGGAAGTGAGTGAACCTCCAAAAAGAACAGTTTTATTGGAAATGATAGGGCTATTCGGAACAATCAGAGGTTATTTAGTTTGTTTTTATAATTCTTAATATGTATTTTTCTGGTTATTGCCGAACCCCCGTTACACTCGAGATCTCCATCTACAACTAAAACCCTGCAACATTTAGTTCTAATGGGTGAGATGCCCAAAATTCCGCTATTTGCTCACATACCTTACAATAATATAATGACATGAACTTGCGGTTAGAGCCCGTTCGACAACTGGATCCGTAGCCCATGCAGTTGGTTAGAGCACTGCATCGGAATCGCAGGTTCGATTCCTGCCAGAGGACCTATAGTTGCATTGTTCGCCGTTGCTCCTCATCTAATAAAGGTATAAAATTCACACTCGAGATTTATATCTTCAAAAACCCTGCAACATTTAGTTCTATCGAGTGAAGTATCCAAAATGCTGATATTTTACCATTGAAGCTAACCCATTATCCTAATCACAATGAAGGTTGGACCAAAGACAGCAATGGAGGGTACACAGTGTTTATGTACGCATTTAACATCATTTGGTGGTGATATGGTCGTAGCTCCCAACACGATTGACTGGAGTGCTATTAGTTTGGATAACCTCTTCAGTAATCCGATCGTATTTGCCGTTGTAATGTCATTCATCTTTTTGTACTTCATCTTACTCATACCTGCGCGAAGACAAGATAAGAAAGATTTGGAAAAGGTAAGCATAACTATCAATTTTCGCTACGCCTTTGTTTTAATTGCGGTATTGGCCGATGTTTTACTGAATCCTATAAATTATTAAATCTATCCAGACTAACCTGTTTATATTGAGTCGAGTTATTTATATTGAGTCGAATTATTCAGCAGCGGCGAGATTCCGTCTGCTGTATAAATTAAATAGTTTTACTTGGTGACCGTTTAACTTGGCATAAAAAATATTGCCCAGGTAACTTGGCAAGGTGAAATAGAAACCGTATAACTTATAGTGATGAGTCTTTCCAGATTAATGTGATGAATCATGAGATAAATTTGATGAATCATGAGATTAATATGATGAATCATGAGATTAATGTGACGAATAGTGAAATGTATTTTATAAGATTAAGGTAAAAAAATTATGTCGCTATCTGTGATACGTATTTCTTTCCTCATAGCTTGGAGTGGTGCCACTACCTGACAACGATCCTCGCGATAATTACGGCTACGAGATTACAGTATACACAGGGTTTAGTGCCGAGGCTGGAACTACTGCAAATATTTATTTCATATTGAAAGGCACTCTTGACGAAACGCCTGTGAGATTATTAAAAGATCCGAGCAAGAACAAAATGTCTGTTGGAAGTATAAATTATTTCTTGCTTACTGTCCCATCATCACTGGGAAAACTAAAAGGTCTTCGTATCTGGCACGATAATGGTGGCAGTTCACCCTCCTGGTATTTACTTCGCTTGATGGTAGGTTTCATTGTTCTTTTATAATTCATTAGGTGTTTGTCTAATCCAGAAACTGAAATGGATTACAAGAACGCCCATGTAAATCTGAATAAATTATACAAAATTTTCTGACACACTATATAATAACAGCCAAAGATATCCGTAACATTACTCGTCTCCGTCTTCTTCCCTTATTTCTGCGTCCAATGTTTTTTGAAACGTTAAAAATTAAAGGTCAGGTAAGGTAATCTTTATTTAAACACGCTAACCCATTCAATGTAAATTGATTTCCAAGGGGGTCATGTAAAATTTAAAATTACATTACTAAAGTAATTAAGTGACTATGGACGTTATTTGCCTAATTCAGTTAGCCCTTATGGTTATTTTAGGCAGATAATACCCATACCTACCATTTTAATAAAATAAATAATGTATATTGATTTATAATGGGTGAATAAATTCTTCTTCTGTATTACAAATGGAATTATATCAGGCTAGTTGCACGTAGAATCGAGTTGTAACTTGCTAAGCTGTCAGCGTTTCTAATTCAGACTGGTAAATTGTTCCATCATCTACAAATGAAACAACAGTTAGCCCTCTTATATATGCATGCAAGTTGTAGTGGTATAGCATCTTCCATAACTTCACCAACAAACTTTGTTAATATTGAGTGATACAGCAGACATTCTGTCAATATTCACCTTCAAGTTCTGAACTTCTCATAACTTCTTGCATTTGACGCCGAGTGATTCATTCTTAGGGATATAGTCGCGCACACTCATTTGCATATTTAGCAAACCTTTGTTAATAAAGTTAAACATCAATTTTGGTTGTTGTATGATATATGTAAAAACGTTAAGCCAGAATGTTTGGCAAGAATCTTCAAATAACTCCATATTAACTTTCAGTACTGCTCTTTGAGTTCATTTGCGGTAAATTGTATAGTATGACGTATATTTCAGGTTCACGATATCCAGAGAGATAGCAAGACATGGTTTTTGTGCGATCGTTGGCTTGCTGTTGAGGAAGATGACGGGGAAATCGAACGAGTTCTCCGACCCGCCGATGCCGACGACCTCACGAGGTTCAACCTCTTGTTTCAAACTGAGGCTCGGAAAAACCTGTCGGACGGTCACATTTGGTTTTCAGTCGTGAAGAGACCTGCCCGCAGTAACTTCACTCGTGTACAGCGGTTGTCGTGCTGTCTCTGCATCCTGCTGACCACAATGCTTGCAAACGCAATGTTCTATCAAAACGACCCGTCGTCTTCCGATGGTGTACTGAAGGTGGGTCCCATGAGTTTTTCACTCCAACAGCTCTCTATTGCTATCACTAGCAGTTTGGTAGTGCTGCCCGTCAACTTGTTCGTCGTGTATATATTCCGTAATGCCAGACCCAAGAAGACGGCCAAAGAAAAGCAAAAGGAGCAAGAAGAAAAATATCGAGCCAAAGGCGTGAAAAATGATATCAAGTCAAAATCAAAGAAAGGCAAAGACAAAGACAAAGAAAAAGGTAACCGCATTTTTTATGTAAGACTTCTATTCCCTACGTTATAAAGTAAAAGTAATTAATGCAATAATATGATGCTAGTTCGAGTGCTTCTGGAGAAAGGAAATTGTGATAAATGTAGCAAGAAGTCAGTTATAATAATAAGTTATATCTAATTTTGCAATTTCTAAAACACAAGAAACAAAGAAATCGATTTCAACAAGAAAAGATAACGCTCCATGCACCATGCACCATGCCAACATAACCCTCAATAGCAGAAGCCATAATCGTGGTCCAATACTGTATAATGCACAATAATCACTGGTCGTATTATTTCATAGTAAGAATCAAATAGTACATTCCATAATTGATTATGGAAACCACTGGGTATTCTTTTATTTCTGAATATGTTTACTGTCGTCGAAGTAACAGCTGTTTTGCTTTTGATTAAAACACTGCAATTCTCATAATCAAGTTGATTCAAGGCGAATTTGAAACAGTCCTATATATTTAGCGATTAACCATTGAATTGATGCTCTTCCAATTGAGCTGTTGACAATTATCGTCTCATAATGAGGAGATACACCGTTAAAAATATGTTTTCTAGCTAATTTTCTCAAAATGGATAATTTTATACATGTGAAACGTGACATGGCTATTTTTCTTTACGTGAAACTAATCCGACTCCCCCCCCCCCCCCACACACACACACCACCACCACCACCACCGCATTTCTAAGTGACTCTCATCTTAGTTATGGGATGAGAATATCAGTAAAATCACATCAGGTTTCGACAACATGAACTACTACTATTAAGCCAAGTATGGACCAATATAATTCGGTACACTCTTAAACTCTAAAACTTCGGATTTAATTTGTATAAGGAAAAAACAATCGCGCAAACTAGTACTTACAGACCTTACTCATACCCAGTTCGGTCTATCACATACTACCTGATTTCTGATCTCTTTCCCTCTTTAATCCGTCTTTAGCTCCGAAAAAGAAGACGTCTTTGCCACACTGGATGACTTACGTTGCATATTTCTTGATATTTATCGCGTGTTCTGTATCAGCCACCTTCACAGTGTTTTACGGCTTGACATTTGGTAAAGCCAAGTCTGAAGCTTGGATTTCTGCCATGATGATTTCATTTTGGCAAGACGTGCTTGTTTCACAACCGTTGAAAGTTTTTGCCGCTGCGACTTTGTTTGCTCTCTTGACGAAAGACCCAAAGAAAGCGACTGGCGAAGATCAAGAGGAAACATTGCCTTCGCCAGAACTACAGGAAGACGAGGAATTCACAGGACAAAGCATGGAAGATCGAGGTATGTCTCTTTTTGCTTCTTTCTTTCTCGAGAAGTTGTAGCTATGTAAACTCTGTTTTCCACGCGGTGCGAAATTTTTCTTTGTCTTGTGATTTATCGAATGGAAATAATTATAGAAAATACAAAGACCGGTGGAAAACCGGCTTAAGCCATACAACAATTGGCTTTGTAAGTGTAAAATATATGAATATTAAAAATATAATATTTATGAGCATTAACATTAACATTTACGACAGCAACGACGACGACTAACCAACAAACAACGGAAACAACAGCGGAAACAACAACAATAACAACAACACCAACAACCAACAACCAACAACCAACAACCAACAACCAACAACCAACAACCAACAACAACAAACAACAAACAGCAATAGCAAAGCAACCAAAATAACTCGACAACCACTACTACCAACATCACAACCAATTATACAAAAACATCAACGACGACAACAATACCACAACACTCATTAACAAGAAGAACAACAAATAATAACACCAACAACAAAACAATAAAAATTACAAACACCACAGGAACAACCATAACAACCCAATTTTTTTGTTTTATTTAGGTTTAGTGAGCATGGCTCGTATAGATCCTAAGCCACCAGATCCACAAAAACTTCAAGAATGTAGAGAATTCAAACTAAAACAGAAAAAGATGAAACATGTTATTTACGATATAATCTGGTACTTTATCTTCGTCACCGTCTTACTGAGCGTAGCCCATGGCAACAGGGACCGTGTTGCATATGGAACAACATCGACCATGTCATCCATGTTTGAAATGAGTAGCTATACGAATTGGATCGATCCTACTGAGGTATTGTATCGGTTTTACTCAGCACCTTCACCTTAACACCTTTTCAAACATTTTTCTGCGATATTTTGGTTCATTTATTATTGCAGTTGTTTAAGTGATGAAGGGCGGATCTGACCTCTTTTGCTAGAGGAGTTGCGGTATTTCTGGAGGGGGTGCATCACTAGGGAGTCCGGGGGGGCATTCTTGAAAGTTGAAGTCCTGAAATGCCAGTTCTGCATTCTGAGCAGTAAATGTATTTGTTAAATTTGTCCTCACAGACGTCTGTGTCGCAGTACTTGTATGTCAGGCAAAAATTAAGAAAAGTAAAAAATTAATAATAATCGATAAATAATTGGTCCATCCTTCTGTAATATAATATTCTACGCCCGATGATAATCGTCTTAACCCAACGGTGGAAAGGAAACATTTTTTGTTGAAATCATCTTCAAACAGCAGCATATCAGCTTTTGCGACATGAGCACGCATCTGATGAGGATCCGTGGTGTATACTCCTAACATGCGTGAAGTATAAGCGTATGGAAGTACATACACTGCATAACGCCAATAATTCGCGAGGTATCACTTCAATTTATGATCTACAACTCCTATGGATTATAGCTGATCCTCACTAAGATTAACCTATAACACGGTCTACACCAACTGCTACATTATAACGACCCACCGTGGACACCACTAGGAAATGTTCGCACCCCCCCCCCTACACGCCCCCCCCCGTGAAAGTCTTGTTAAGTGCCAATCAAACCAAAGATTTCTACATCACCGTACAAGTACTCCTACCTCTGGGATTTGGGATGAGCCACACGCTCAGTGCTAGATATCTAATTCACAAATAGGAAGATCTTCAAAAGTATAACTCTCGCTACTCTGATTTTAAAATGAATGAATGCTTAGCCCAGTCAAATTGCATTTACGACCTAACGTTTCGTTGCCTGGAAGATTGGAATATATTGTATATACATTATGCTTTAAATAGAGATGTGGTGGTTGCTATTCGCCACAAGAGTACCTCTACCTTGTTGAGTTATTGGCCGATGATGCCATTCCTCGAATATATAGGAATTTCGACTTCAGACCACCCCGATGAAAACAGTAGACTGTAGTGTCGCAAAGTTGGCTCGTCAACGCATTTCGACTGGACTTTGCATTCTTTCATCTTAAAACCAGAGTATTAGTAAACCTAATAAATTTCAAAAGTGTTCAATCATGTTTCCTGCCAAGGCATATCTTTGCATATTTTGCAAACAAAATGTAAGTACGCAGAAAACGAGAGTCTCGCATACCAACATAATACTTGGTTGAACACAAACAAGTACCTGATCGTAATATTGTACCTTCGGTACGTACATGTAAGTGCACGAATTATCGCACACTGGTAATTATCTGACTATTTCAGACATTTCAATCTTTCTTTCTGACTATTTCAGATAACAGATGCAAAATTGTACTGGTATTGGAGTAGATACTCGTTACTACCCACCCTCATCCCTAACCAGTGGTACGGACCTAACCAGATCATGGAAAATGTAGTCTGGGTAAAGAGTGATCCTCAAATCTCCCGATCCAGAGGCGCCCGAAGTCGTTTGAACCTGAATAAGAACAGGATACGTAAGATTCAAGCACGGCCTGGCGAATTTCCTGACATGAGTATTGTTCTCAATAATACCTGGCCGTATCCCGAAAAATTTGTGGCCGACCATGCGACTGACTACGTTGTTGGAGTGGCAAGATATAGACAACTCAGAGTAAAACCAAGTATGTAATGACTGTTGTTGGCTCAATCATCTGGGTGGGTAGGGTGGGAGATATTTGGGGGAAGGGGGGGGGGTGAAATTAGGGGGACATTCTTAATTCTTTGATTATGTCACAAAGTTATAGTTCTGTGATGTCTATAGTGGTGACTTTTTGCTGAAGGGAACGATACTTTCCTGATCAATTTCAGGTAGTTATGACTCAAACGATGGCAGGTTACCGTAAGAGACCCTTTGCCTTGTTTACATTTAGCTGGCAGGTAAATTCCTGTAAATACACAAGATTATATGTTCTCTATTGTGATTGAACAAGGAAATTTCACAATAACAAAGCTCTCTTGGCTTGAAATCTAAAAACGAGCGAACGTCTTGTGTTATTGAGGGATATTCTAGTTTTCACCCCAAGAGGTTTTTTGACAGGATCCGTTATAATGCTTAGAAGTTACGACTCTATATATTAGAGGTGTGCATCGGATCGGATTGGACGTTTATAATCCGATAATTGCCTAATGTTTAAAATCCGATCCGAAATTGTCTAATCCGAATCCGATCCGATCCGAGTTTTGAAAAAGAATTCCAATCCAATCCGATCCGAAGAATTCTTTGATAAAATAAATTTCTCATTCAAGTTGAAATATTTAACCAAATAAATATAAAAGCAAGAAATACATGTCAAGAAGCTGACAAAGTGACGTCCAATAGCTGTTATCGTAATTGAATACGCCGCTGCAGCATACCAGCGGTATCTCAGTGGAAGTACGCACGAAAACGAGGCTAAAGGGTCAAAAACACACAAAACATGACCCTATAGCCTCGTCTCGATGTTAAAATAATGCAGATACCGCTGGTCCGTAGCATAGACGTATTCAATTACGATAACAGCTATTGAAGTATCAAACGAATAATGCAGCGACAACCGCGATGATGCTTTGATAAATGTATGGATAATTAATTGCGTGGATAATTAATTCATTAATGCGTGGATAATTAATTCGATAATGCGTTGATAATTAATTCATTTTATTTCGGATATCGAAGTCTGATCCGATCCGACTACGAAACAACTTTATCAATCCGATCCGATCCGAAATGAATATTTTGGTTCCGAAATCCGAACGAATCCGATCGGATAGGATTCGGATCGGTTTCGGATCGGATTTGCACACCTCTACTATATATGACGTTTCACGTGTACACGTACGTTACACGATTTGTAAAGTTTTCGATCGGTATGCCCAGATCATCATGAAAGCAGACACGAACCACGGCAGGTTATTGTACTTATAATTATCAAATACCAGGGTATTTTTTAACTATATACATGTAACTAGTGCATGTAACTCCCCAGCTCCTCTTTGCTTGCCCCAGTAGTGAAGTAGGATTTTCATATGAACAGGGCTATTTTTATCATTAATGAAACGCTGAACCTCATTGAGAAAGCTGCACCTCCCTGTTTTTCCATTCTCTCACATTCTTGACATACCATCTTATAAAATTATATACAAAATGGAGAAAAGTCCCTCATCAAGACTTTTTCCCAGCAGTCGTAATTCCTTTTAACTTATTATACTAAAACAATTTCTCTTCCCAGATCAATGTACAATACACCCAATATTCCGACATTTGTTTGAAGAATGCAACAGTTTCTACAGTTGGGAAAAAGAAGACGAGGGAGAATACAAGGAAGGGTGGGCCAAAGGCATTGAAAAGAAGGTCAACGAAAATGATACGGCCACAGAGAAACAGAAGAATGCTTGGCAATACAACACTGCTTGGGAGTTAAAAGGAACTCCATACTGGGCTGGATTTTCGACTTATTGGGGAGGAGGTAGGATTATTTAAGTAAATTATATTATGTAGTTAAGGTTTATATGCGATATAGCATGGTTCGAGGACTGAAAATCTAAAAGTAAAAGCTAAGATTATATGACATGTAGCTATAACATGTGCTTATATTTCAAAATATAATTGTCAAAAATCTTGCAAACATAAATTACACCCTTTTCTTCGTGTGTTAAAATATGCCAGGTTATTTTCTTTTTGTTTCCAAATATATTTCAAAAGGCCTGCTTCATTTGAGTGGGTTTTTTTTGTTTTGAAAACGTTTCATACGATTTCGGTATCGCTCTTTAATATTGATTGCCGTCATTGTATATGACTCTGTATTTACACTGTGCTTTTCTCTCGTTTTTACAATACGCTCCCCGCCAATCGTGTGTCAATTGTCCATCGTGAGTTATTAATCAGTCTGAGAAATAAATTTCTCGTAGGTTTTGTCGCCGACTTGGGTCACAACGAATCGTTGGCAATGAATATGACTGCATACTTGCAAGAGAACGACTGGCTTGACCGTTACACGCGGGCAATATTTTTGGAGTTCACAACATATAACCCGAATGTGAACATGTTCTGTCTAATCACGCTGGTTTCCGAGATCATCCCAACTGGCGCGTACTATCAGTTCAATAAAATAAACCCCCTTCGGCTGTACCGTTACTATGGACCAAACCTGCTTGCCATTATGGTACTAGAAATCACTCTCATGACCTTTCTACTCTACTTTGCTTATCGCGAGTTTAAGAAATGGCGCCGCGAAGGTAAACTATACTGGAAAGATCCTTGGACTTACATGGAACTACTAGTTCTCGCTTCGTGCTTCTCCACGATCGGTTTGTACTTCGCTCGCATGGTCGCCACGAACTATTCCATCGGTCTAATGCGAGATGATCCCAAATCGTTTGTAAGTTTCCATTATGCAGCGGGTTTGGATCAATGGTCGACGTTTACGTTGGGAATGGCGGTGTTCTTGTCATTTTTAAAGACACTTCGGCTTCTTCGTTTCAACCGTCGAATGTCGTTTATGAGCAAAACTTTGAAAATATGTTTCAAACCTCTCTCGTCTTTCTTCTTGGTATATATTGTGGTATTTTTGGCCTATGCTTCATTCGGTTTCCTGGTGTTTGGTAAAATAGCTACGGACTACCACACATTCCAGTCATCTATGGCGAATGTTCTCGGTATGACTTTGGGTGCTTTCAACTTCCACGCTTTGGTAGAAGCACATAGAGTTCTCGGTCCGATGTTTTTCTTTACTTTCACTTTTGTTGTCAACTTCATCTTGATTAACGTTTTCGTCGCGATTATTTCCGAGGCACTCAACCAGGTGACGTCTGATGCTGCGAACCAATCGAACGATCACGAAATTCTCGATTTCATGGTTCATCAGTTCAAGTCCTACATTGGCCACAGAGTGTCGCCGGCTATCAAACCTGTATACGTAGAACCTCTGACGGGAGTCGACGAGTCTTTCGCGCAGATACAGAAGAAAACCGAGGGTGTCGAGGTGGCTTTTCGAAATCTATGCATGGAGGAAATACGGCATACGAGCTGGTTTAACCCAGAGAAATGCGCAAAGAAAAAGAAATTGTTAATGCAGTTACTTCTTCATGTCGATGATCAGTTGACGGAATCTGAAATCTGCGATGCGATTCCTCTATTCGAGGAAGTTATGCGTTCGTACTCCGAAAAGGACTTTAAGGATTGGCTCGCTCAATACGGTGAAGAATTTGATGATACGCAAACCATGCGCAGTTCGGTCCTGTTTTCCAGAGCAACTCTGTACGATTCAGACGATAGCAGTTTGGGCGAGGATTCAGATGATTCACTTCCGGAAGGAAGATGGTCGCAACTCTCTGGTTCAACTGTGGCTTCTGTCGATGAAAGTAGGCTGTTTTCTGGTACGAGTGAAATACCCGACGCCAGACGTGGAAGCGCGGAAGGATACTATAAGAAATACCAGGAAAGGCCTCCTTCAACTGCGGAGAGATTTTGTTACACACCAAGCACAGTATCGATGACATCCTTGAATGATAACTTTGCTATCGTTGACCAACTTCTGCTGCAAGATGATTGTCAAAGACTTTTTATCGAGGACGAAGAAGACGGAAATGTTGAGTCAGAGGAAGCTGAAGAGTTATCCGAAGTTGAAGAGGAGTTGAGTCAAATGGAAGCGCAGCTACGAGGGGAAGATTTGGAACCTACTGCACCGTGGATGATGAATATGAAAGCACCAACTCCAAGTCAAATGGAGAGTGGTTCAAGTATAGAGCTACGCAAAGAAAGTCCCAGTAAAAGTCCCTTGTTTCAAAAATCGTTCAGTCCAAGAAGCACTAAGAATAATGAACATAATATAACGGTCGAAGAGATGAGTGATTAGATAAACAGACTAATTAAATCGCTGGGAAAACTAGAAACCATTGTGGTAGAATCACATAGTTTCATAGTAGTGTTTCTAGAAGGTGACTAAAACAAAAAAATATTGTTTCCTGCATGATCATGTATTGAATTTGACTTTCCAGTAAACATTGTTTCCGTAACAAAATCACTCTTGGGAAAAAAATATGTTTGTTTAAGCTAGGGTGGACAAAAAGTGGAACATATATTCAAAGATACATTGGAATTTTCATATGTTGTGCGAGCAATGTTATCTAGTTTGACCAGGCAAAAACATAAGATCTTCGTTCAAACTAACGAGAGCGTTTTTATTTACAGAAGTAGATAAATCGTGTGTAGTTCAGTGATTATAGATTAATGAAGAGTGCATGAAACGTATAAATATGAAAATTCCATTTGTGTGGTATTTGTATATGTATTCCGTTTGTGTGGTATTTGTAGGCAGATTTTATTCATCATTGGCCACGAATGCAATATCAAAACCCTTAATCCTGCCAATTGTCCATTTTAACATTCTACTGTACTTCCAAAACCCAAAATTTAGAGCAACTTATTTTTAGACAAAAAAGATAGTGGTAATTTCTTACACAGCATATTTCGACAACCTGAATATTTCAGTGGCCTGAACAAATTTGCACAATAAATGCAATGCTCATGTAATTTATTTATCGTAGAATAAAGTAACGTAATAATTACTGATTAATGTGTATGCAATGATCATTCGCAGGATTTTAGAAAGTAGTAAAAAATAAAAGAGAAGTATAATAATGTATAGAATAAAGATGAGTTAAAACAGACTCGTGCAGTTGTGAAATGTTATACTGGACTGGATTGGATTGGATTGAACCAAAATAAACTCAACAAAACTAAACTAAAGCGAACTGAACTAAATCGAAATAAACTACTGTATAAACTAAACTAAACTAAGCTGATTCTAAACTGAAATAAACTGGACTAACATAACTTTAAGATGCACAACTCTGACTTTCTAAACTTCTCTAATCTGTCTAAAAAGGTTCTCTTCTTTTATTGATGCAGTATTACTACAGGAGGAAATTAAACTGGAGTTAAACGAGTCTGAAAGGGCTTGTCTAACGCCCGAAGTCAACATGTTAAACGAGTCTGAAAGGGCTTGTCTAACGCCAGAAGTCAAACGTTAAACGAGTCTGAAAGGGCTTGTCTAACGCCAGAAATCAACATGCAGTACCGATACGTTTTCGTGTTCCTGCTGTTTTTGGCAATACAATACGATGGAGAAAGCAAACAGAAACCTAATAACAAAGGCAAGGTACTCAAAACATCAAACTGTACTTTTCATGGAGAAGAAGCACATTGGTTCAATAAATATTTCAAACTCGCAATACGGCATCACATTTGCATCACATCGACAAAGACAAGTCCAAGACACAAGTATTTGGCTTCCAGTTTACGCTATTATAACAACACCGATGCAACCTTTACTGTGGAAAGAAATCCTGGTCCAAGTAACAGTGGAAACGACGATTCCGAAGCAAAGATTTGCCAAATTAAGCTACCCAAACGAGGACTGAGAATAGGTGAGTGGAATATAAATCACCTAACCGATGCAAAATTCGAACAAATTAATCTATTATTAACTACATCAACAAACATTGATATCCTATTTGTAATTGAAACTTTCCTAAAGCCCTCAAAACCGGATTCCCTATTCAATATTCCGGGTTACTATATGTACAGGAAAGATAGAACAGGCCGAAAAAATGGCGGAGGATTACTAACATACGTGGCAGAAAAAGTCCAGACGAATTGAGTTTCTGAACTTGACGAGGATCATTCTGTAGAATCGCTGTGGCTAACTAGCCTCCTCCGCAGGTAACTCTTGTGGCATCACAAAATGGCAAACTTTTGAAAAATCCCCATCAAAAAAGAGCAATACTGTCGCGAACGGCGAATTAATGTTGTTTTGGCCGAGTAGTAATAAAATTAAGGGGATTGGGTCGGGGGAAAGGCGGAAAGGAAAGGCGGGAAGGGGGCGGGGCGGGAAAAGAAAGGAAGGGGAGTTGCCTGCCAAAAATCGACATGGTCTATCAGTTCTGCGCATGTGTCTCGCGCATACTAAAAACTCACTAAGTGGTGGTGTGTAAGGCGAAATTAAATACTCTCCCGGGTAGACAAAGGAAGCTTTCTCATTTAGTAAATTTGGCGGCACTCGAAGAAAAACTGTTACTTGAAGCGCTTGAAAAACTTTCTGCTGTTCCTCCATTGCGGCCTAATATAGCATCGAATTTTACAGTGAAAGGATGCCAAATAGAGTCGGTGGTTAGAGCAATTTCAACGTTTGAGGCTGCCACAAAATTTGCTTTTTGTCTTCAAGAAATTTATGTTGCTGAATACGAACAGATTTCGAAGACCATTGAAATATCGGACGAAACACATCGTTATGTGTATAGCATTAGCAGCCAACGATTTCGACAATCTTGAAAGAGGAGAGCTCATAGACAATACGCTGAGACAATATTTTGGTTTCACGTCGTTTCGGCCACTGCAGAGAGAGACAATAATGGCAACAATGAACGGAGAAGATGTTATGATAGTCGTGGGAACTGGTGGTGGTAAGACTTTGATGTATCTCTTACCTGCTGTAATTTCTTCCAATATCACTTTGGTAGTTTCTCCCACATTGTCACTAATAGATGACGTGCTTGGTAGATGTCATAATCTCGGCATATCAGCATGTAAATTTACTGGAGAAGTTCCAAAGGAATTACAATACAGCCAGCAGTTGAATATAAAACAATTTAAGATTGTTCTTGGAACACCTGAAATGCTCAAGGAAGGAGAATTCAACAGCACTGTCATGTCCATGATTGAGAAAAAAGAAATAGAAAGGATCGTGTTTGATGAAGCACATACAATTGTTAGCTGGGGTAACACTTTTCGTCCAATATATAGAGAAGTATGTGAAGAGTTAGCTAAGACAACATGCCCTAAACTTTTGTTGAGTGCAACAGTTCCTGCCAAAATTGAATCTGAACTTAAGGATATTTTCATGGGTTTGGTGGTCTTCAGATCTTCAATATTCCAAGAGAATCTGTTTTTGAAAGTTCAAGAGCGTACAAGCAAGTTCTATGATGAATTGAAAAGCTTTATTTTGGAGAGAAAGGGTGATAGTGGTATTATCTACTGTGTTTTACCAAAGGATGTTTCAACCATTCATGCTGATCTTTTGAAAAATGGGATTGACTGTGTCAAGTATCATGGGAAATTGTCTGAAGAAGTGAAAACAGATAGTTACTCTAAATGGGTAAATGGAGAGTGCAGATTGATTGTTGCCAATTCTTCATTTGGGATGGGCATTGACAAAAAGGATGTGCGATATGTGATCCATGGCAGAATACCCACAAGTGTTGAAGAATACTATCAGCAGTGTGGCCGTGCAGGGCGTGATGGTTTGCCTGCGACATGTGTGCTATTTTATAAATATGGGGACAAGAATATGCTTTTGAAATTGTTTCAAATGCAAAGTGAACAAAGCCAGCAAATTGCATCAGTTAACGAACTGATACATTTTCTTGAAGATCCTGTACAGTGTCGTCACAGAAGCCTTATGGTATTCTTTGGAGAGAAAACAACCAGTTTCATTTGTGGAACCAGTTGTGACAATTGTGGTACACGAGGGAGCTTCTATGCAACTGATGGCACGTCTGATGCACTGAAGGTGTTACAAGCAGTGGTGGAATTGACTGGAAGGGTTTTTACATGTAACACCCTAAAACTCTTCCTTGTAGGAAGTCGACAGAAATCTATTCTGGAACAAGAACTGGATACTCTAGTAAATTTTGGTAGCCTTGAGAAAAGGTTTGTGCCAGCTGTGCTACTTGACAAATTTTTACATTCACTTATTAACAGTGGCATTCTAGCAGAGGTTATTGAAAAAAAGGGGAAACATTTATATTCTCAGCTTGTTCTTGGACCAAAAGCACATGATCTGATGGCTCTCAGGCTGAGTGTTTCTCGCTATGAGAAGTAATGTAATGTACACTGATAATAGTATTATCTAAATTTAATTGGTAATTGTAGTAATAATGTAAACCATGTGTGTTTGTCAGATTTGATAATTTTGCATAAATGGTCTAATACGTATGTGTTTGAATAAAGGTTCTTAGTGCAATTTTTGCATACAACTGTTTTCAATTGAACCTAATAATTAACCTTCCAAGCCCTTCCTTAAAGGATTAGTGTCACACCAGGAATTCGCGGGCTCAAACTCCTGCTGGCGGCCATTTTTCGGGATGAATAGATTAGATGATCTGGAAAGTTTTTACAATCCGTCATATATTTAAACCATCCTTTTCTAATCCTTGCTATTTTTGTGTGATTTTTATCAGAAATGCACCAAACAAGGTATTTTTATCGCTATTTGTTGTATTTGAGTAAAGTGTAAACAATAACAAAAGCCAGCAATGCATGACCCTGACACTAATCCTTTAACCATCTTCACCCGCTCCCTGCATAAAAAAATCCTGGTATTATAAACTGTAGATTTTATATTTATGGCAATAATTTGTAAGCAAATACCTATGTACATTACGTAATTATATACAGATCCACACTTCCCCTACAGAAACATTTCTGCCATTCATAATTAAGCGAGGGACAAAGTGTTATTTTGTGATTAACCCATTTGCTTGCTGTTCTCCTAAGTAAAATTGCCTGGTGTAAAATACCCAGGTAGGGTGCATTGGCATCTAATAAACTTTAGTAGGGCACACACAGTTAACCAATTAGCTCACAATGTGTACAACTTTAGTATTTACTCTATCTAACGCCAGACAATTTTACTTATCATTGATCAAATGCTGTCATATAGTATATATATAGTATAAGATTTATATTATAAGGAATAAAACTTTCAACAATGTACTGAAAGTGAGAAACAAATAACAGTATGTCGCCTTATGGAAATATTACAATAGCCAGAAAGTGAAAACGAAGTATTTAATAAAACAAGGCTGTTTAAATACAAGCCTATATTGACCTGTAAGGCTGTAAGTGTAATGGCTTCCTAATCCTTCCTAATCTTCGTCATCACTCGACTCCTCATCATCCATAACTACCAACAAATTGTTGGCATTGCTTGTAGACACATTATCTTCGGAAATGTTTGCTGTTTCTCCTCGTAAAATCTTTTCGTATTCTGATTGGCGTTCTTTATGCCGTTCTAAACTTTTCACGAATGCAAAACGTTCATATGCCCTGTCAAGAGCGAAATCTACCCCTGTGCCCCTCAGTGGCACAGTGGTTTTGGTTTCCTTCTTACTTTGAAAACCAAATTCCTTCGTGAATAAATCCAAGTTACTCGCTAGTCCGACCGTCTTACACTGATTCTCATGGGAAATGGGAAGAGGAAAAATTTTCGTTGGCTTTCCAGCGAGATCAGGAAAATCTTTCTCCACGGGTGGTATTTCTATAACGTACTTAGGTTCCCTTGTATTGCTGTTGGCGATTTCCTGCAATTCATCACTGTGGACGATTTAATTTCCTCACTTGACAGTCCAACTGAATTGAAGGCCATATCCAATTTACGGAGCAAATTTCTGTCTTTATATCGGTTCCACTTTTTGCTTAGCTCATCGTGTGTTTCTAAGATATATTTACCAACAAAAATACCAAAGTTAGAAAAGGAAGAGGGCAATTTGAAACGTAATGGTTTATATGGGAAGTCTTGAACTCGCCTCGGCTGATAGGGTCACCCCGGCAGTATGGTGACCCCGTTTTCAAAATACCCTTAATTAAGGGAGGGACAACTTTTGTTCATGTAAACTGAGATCATATAAACAGGCCCTAAGCTACCAGTTCAAAATGGGTGACTGGTCCAAAGGGGTTACATCATAAATTATTAATAATTTACACACAAAACCTACCAATCTTTGTGTCTTTGTATTCAAGCTTTTTCACAGGCTTCTGAGGTTTAACTGCCTCTTCATCACTAAACTGGTTTTCAATGCCACTTATGTCCGCTTCTCGCCATCCTCGAACGGTAAAATCCCACATTTTCCCCTGCAAGACCTTTTCCTTCTGCAACTTTGACAACCGCAAGTGCCTTAGTGAGGTACGGCTTATCTGCATGTTGTCTTGATACGTGACAATAGGTGTTGTGCTGCATGAACGCTGTTTGATGACATCCTTGTAATTCTCAAGCTGACTTTTAAGAACACCAATTCTAAAACAAACAGTTTAAAATTGACCAATATGCTACTTTTGCATGGATGTGCATAATTAGACTACACATTGATATTCAGTAATGGGGACTTATTACATACAAAGAGATTCATACAGGTATAGAGATTTATATACAGTAAATGGACGAAATAAAAATTTCAGGGTCTGGCTTTTTACCATGTATTTTTCATGGTTTGAGCTATGGGTTTTTTTCTCTCTTCTTGGTGTTTTAAAATGGATTCTTTCCATTTCTCTGACACACTTTCACTTTCTAAAAGGTCATACACTACTTACAATACAGGAAATGACTCAGACAAACCAAGACGTTGGAGAGGCCTTATCAATGCAGGTCCAGCACCATAGCAGATGCACAACAAACCAAACAGTATTGGGATATCATTCTTGCTGTGTTGGTCCCGAATGTCCAATAAGGATGCCAGTAGGTGCACAGCAGCTTTCATTTTCATACTCTCTGTTTTTAGAGTGTTTCTGGAGGTGTTGTGTGTCAGTACAAGCTGTTCCAAAATGTTTATTATGGTAGGACAGGCGTTTTTTATGTTTGAAACAAGTTTCTGGAACAGTAATGGTTCGAATATATTGGAAATGTCACTCTTTTTGTTATCCCGTATGTTCAAGTTGAACAGCTTCTTTGCTGTATCAACTTCTGATGTAATTGCATTTCTTTCTGAAACGGACAACAACCCACCAAGAAGCCTTCCGGTGGCAATTATATCTTTTTGTAAGGATATAACATCATCTTGCAGCTGAACAATTTCCTTGTAGTGAACCAATATTTCCTGCAGCTCAGAAAGTTTATGACTATTGGTGCACTGCATGGAGTCTTCAAGCTCCATTGTTTCCGATACCAACTCTTGTAAACACATAAAATTGTCACTGCCTAAAAGACAATTGAAAAAATATATACTTACTGATCACATGAATTGAAGCAGGTCATATTAAGTTGTTACTGTCGATGCAATAGAAGTGTCGATAAAATATTGGATCAATTCATTTCATCAAGTTGATCAATTCATGCAAATTTCTTTTACTTCCTTTGCGGTTCTTATTGGACAATCAGTTCTGAAACAAAATATAACTGGCCATTTGCATGGAAAGCAAGTTGACAAGTTTTCTATCAGATGAATTGATCAACTTGAAGAAATGAATTAATGCAATATTTTATCAACACTTCTATTGCATCGACAGTAATAAAATAGTAATATGCATCTCATGCATTGATTTTGTACCTGCAGTACTTGCAGTTTTACTGTTTTCCTCCCCATCATTGATACTGTCCATTTTAAGACCTAAATATAAACTAGATATGTCAGAAATTGTATATATGAAAATGCATATATTAGGCAGTGTTATGAAATATAGAATATTATATATTACTCTTAAAAATATTAATATACTTTTTCTGGCTTTGCTTGACTTTTGCATT